GCATACTCAGGGGACTCTGACCAATCCCCAAGCAAGAGGCTTGGCATGGGTTCAGGGAGGCCCTTACATATGAGAGAGCTTGATCAGGAGGGGACAGTGTCAGGTGGAAGATGGAGTGAAGGCTGGACTGTGGAGCCTGGGAGGGGGCCCAGGGACTGTGCCTGCCTACAGGCAGATGCTGTAAAGGAGGATCTCTCTGCCTCATCATCCCCTGAGAGATGACTACCTGTGGAGCAGAGAAGGAGCCAGCTCAGTGCAAGGCCTGAAGGCAGCCGCCAACCTATCGAGCTCACAGGGAGAGACAGAGTGAGTAATCCTACACCCTGTGGGCCAGATAAGGGGAGAGGGCAGTCATGCAGAAACCCTACTAGAATCTCATCTGGGGCTGCTTTGCTTAGTGGTAGTTGTAGCTGGCCAGCTGAGACCAGTCCTAGGTTGTTAATATGGTTCACATATATGTGTATACCAAACCTGCCAATAACCTCAGTACAGTATATATGTGCATATGTTAAAGCCAAAAGCAGAATTATTGCTGTGATTTATGTCTTTGATTGTTATATGACATTTATATATTCATTGTGTTAGCAGAAGCAGAAAAGGAAAATATGCCTTTAAGAGTTAGTATAAGGTGATCCAATCACAGACAGCCTCACACTGTACAGAGCCTTAACCAATCCCAGCCAGTTTCACATTTATGTCTGTGTAAAACTCCCTGCTAGGATTTTCTAGAGACACATGCTCACCAGACAGAAGAGGAAACAGACAAAGTTCCAATCAGAAAAGCTTTATGGAAAGAGAGAAGGCCAAATAGGTATTTAATGCACTTGTGTTTTCCTCTATTGTTTAACAGTGCAGGTAGATCTGTGTGTAAAAACTGTTGTGTGTGTTGTGTTTACTTGTAGTTCCACCGAACTTACGAATTTATCGAATTTACGAACTTACGAATCAAGTCACTGTAGAGTAATCATAATCTAACGAATTTATCAATCTATCGAATCAACCCAATGTAATGCGAATTAAACCATTGTAATCTGAAACAAAACAAGCCATTGTAAGCAGTGTTATATGAAGAAGATAGAAGTTATTTAACTAAAGTATTCGGTGTGCTCTTTAAACCTACTGCATCCATAGAGCGGCATTGGAGGAATTACAGAGTAAAGTCAGTCTAATCAAACAAAGAAACAGCAATTGCATAATTTTTCTAATGCCACAGCGCACAAGGCACCAAAGGGTGCTGCGCCTGCCACAGTAGTTTCTGAGTTCCCTTGCCCAGGGATACCCACAGTCAGCTGGTGAAGAGACAGATTCATCTGGGGTCTGAGGTGGTAAACCAGAAGGGCTGGAGAGCTCTTCAAAGGAGATACCTTTTGTCTACAGATTGTACATAGTTGCTAAGGAGTTTGTCCTCAAAGTTCACAATTCCTTTGGGCATCTCATACACCCCCAAACCCCATCCAAGTTCTAAAACCCCTTAGTAAACAGTTCTTGAGCTTGGTTTTGATGTTTTATTAACGCCAGTGTGCAGGGGTGTAAGAAAATGCATGTTGCTTAGCTGTGCAGAGCTGTAGGGGACCCAAAACTCAGCAACTCCTAAGGGGGTAGTGCTACAACACATACCACACAGACTTTTTCCTCCAATTCAACTTTCATTTGAGGTGTATTATTTGCCCAACTCATTGAATGCAATGCAGGCTCTGGGCAGTTGATATCTCAAAACTACAGATAATCACAATCAAACTTTTTGGAAAATGCGTTGTAGTCAATGGTTCAGGCCATGATGTTGTTTTTTTAAGAAATCCATTTGGGCTTTAGATGGTTCCTGAGGATTACTGGAAGTGGTTCTAAAGCTAAAACATTTTTTAAACTTAATGCCTACCCTGCAATAAGGTAAAAAAACATGTTGCCACTTGCTGTTCCCTCTCCCACCCTTCCCACAACCAGCAGTGCTTTCTCTCTCTTCTCTTCTTGCCATTGGCTCCTGCTGCTGTCAGTCACAGCCTGTGCCAGCAGAGAGTGGGGGTTGGGCTGAGCCGTGTTGTGTTTGTCTATGGATGCACAAAGCCTGACTCGGGAGTGCATCTGCAAATATACCCCCATAGCAAGTGGCTTGCTATGGGGGCATACAGAGAAGAAGAGTAGCTGAGAGCACTGGCAGGAGACCCTAGGAGAGAAGGTTCAGGGTCGCTCTGTGCAACACCATTGGACAAAGCAAGTGAGTATAACATGTTTATTATTTAATTTAAAAAAAAATAGCCTTTAAAAACATTTTAGGTTCTTTACCACTATCCTGGAATTGTTGTTGTGCCAAAACACAACTCTTTACTAGCCTGATTATATTTTATGTCTTTTTTTTTTTTTTTCATTTCACAGAAAATAGAAAATAGACAGTGAAAAAATGTAGAATAAAAAGCATCTGTACACAAATTGTGATCAGATACAAATTTCCTGTACAAATGTCTCAATCAATTACATGGCTTTCACAATAAATTCTTGTATTTTGCCTAATATATTTGTTTCCTTTTGATTGTCAGTTCCATCTCGAGTCCATAATGCAGTATTTTCCTGGAATACCTCAACATTATGGCCACTAGATTGAACTGACAATCACAGGAAATAAACATATTAGTCAAAATACAGGGATTTATCAGGACTGTGCAATTGCAAGTGAAGATCACTGGAGTAGTGGAGTCTACTTCAGTGGTTTCCAGTCTCCGGGGGCATTGGCCAGGTATGGTATATACATTCTGTAGTTTACATTGATCCCAGCTGTATAAAAGATCTATACTGTAAAGTCATTTAATATGATGCACACAGTTGAAATTATTTACCATAATGCTGTTATTTGAAACCACTTAGGACATTGTTGTAATATAGAATATTTATTAGGCATTGGAAAACAACATTATCTTACAATTTTTACATTACCCTGGCAGTACCTCAATGCCAAGGGCAGAAGTAATATAAGGCACATGTCCTTCATTGAACATCACATTCAAAATATTTGCTGGAGCTATATACATGATCAGAACGAGGACTGAAGTATTCTTATGTACACAGTACACATTAAATTATGCAGGAAGAATTTAAGACTCATTGTTGCTCTCTTATATTGTTCTTCCTGATATAAGCTGAAAAAAATTCATTAAAACATAGATTCTGCTACCCTATATAATTTTCAGTAGCTCAGAGAAGGCCTTTCACCTAAAATGGACCTCCAGCCAAAAATGTTCTATTTTTGAGTAGCATAGGGTAGCGTAAAGCAGGCCATACAACCATGGATTGCTGGAAAGGAAATCGATTGTCCTACACAGTCAGTGTTGATGGGGGAATCCCGCCCGCAGCGCAGCGCTATTGTGTTCTGCTGGCAGGGAGCCTTCCCTCTCGGCAGAAAACAATGATTATTTCTAGTGGCTATAGCCGCTGACAGTAATCACATGTAAAAAATCTGACAGGCTGGTTGTACCCAAGTCAGTTGATGGATCGACTTGGATACAACCAGCCTGCCCATTGGTGGAACACATTTCTGCTGAACCAACCAAGATACATGTATGGCCAGCTTTGGAATCTCTGATAGGCTGTCCCTATTTGGATGACTCATCATCACTTTCTGTCCTTGAGGCAGTTGTCACTAATGCAGAAAGTTATAGCAAATCTAAAATTCTACAATTGTCATCAGGACAGGAGTAAAAGGTAATTTCCCATGTCTGCCTCTTGGACAGGAAAAAAGCAAAAATATAATTAATGCTGACACAATGTTCACAATGGGGATGGTTCTGGCTTGACAACCATTTAAAAAAAAACATCTCTATCTATGGAAAAAGGAGGGTAGATGTGTCTTTGCCCTATGTATTGCTGCCAGACCTTTGCCAGCAATGCAACCAGTCAAATCCTATTGTTATGAGTTGATGGATAAGGAACTCACAAGTAGGACTAAACTTCTGATGGACTTTCAGTAGATAAACAGGCATGGATATTCAAATAAAAGAGCTACCAAGAAACAAAAACTCACCACAGCAGCAAACTCACTCCGATTTAGACATTGCTTTTTAAGATGATTCCTCTTTTCCCACAGAAGGATTCCTTCTTTGTTCACATTAGAGAAAAAAAATATATATATATATATTTATTTTCTAGGAGGGGCTAATGGGTTGAATCACCCAACATCTTTTTAGATCTCTTTGAGACTTTCAGAGATCTTTAAAGCCAACCATAGAAGGGTCAGATCTTGGCTGGTTCAGTTGAGTGTACACAAGATGATCGATTGATCAACTTGGGCACAACCAGCTTGTCGAATTTTCCATGCGATTAATGCTAGCAGCTATAATAGCCACTAGCAGTAGCACTGTGTTCTGGCAAGTATGGCTCCCCTGCCCCCCACCCAGAGAACACAATGGCTCCATGGGAATCAAGCAAATGTCCTTCCTGCAACCCATGGTTGCAGGAAAGAAAATCACTCCATCTATGGCTGGCTTTAAAAAGTGTGATATTTCAACGCATTTGCTTGTTATGTAAGTTTGCATATCTATGATGTCACTCTCTCTCATCAGACTCCCCAATTATTTGCCTATTCTAGTTAATAAACAATGGTTCATAGAGATGTGACATTATTATAAGTATATGTAATGATTGCAGCACTTTAACAGCATTAAGTTGACACCAAGAGATAGAAGTTAGAACTTGCTTCACTTAGAACAGAGAATACGAGTTATTTTTTGGATGCTTCGTGATGGGCACAGCCACTCCTAGCATAAGATAAAAAGTAATTTTTATCATGTCATTAATAAATATGAAAGGATAATGATAGTCTATACAGTTCTCATGGTGGACCCTCCTTGTATTTGTCCTACAAGGAAGTAAGACTCAGATTTTTCCCTTGTTCTTTGTTATCGATACTTGGCAGTTCATCACTCAAGTCCACCACATTCTCATGACATTCCAAGGCCTTTGGCTTGTCGAAAGACAACTCTTCGTCTTCATTGGGTTGGCAGCAACTACAACATTTACACTTGCAGCAGCAACAACATCGGCGACCACAGAAGAGAGCAGCGTGCATCATCCAAGAATCCCATGGTCTTAGAGAATGCATCCACTTGGGAAGGAAGTCCCATGTCTTCAGAAAGTTTGGCAACACACGTGGAAATTTGGCTTGCAAAACGTTGATGACAATGATGACAACTATCAAAAACACAATAGGGACACAGACTCCCACAAGTATCTGCCATCCAGCAATTGACAAGCCAAACACTGCTAGAGGTAGCAAGAAAAAGCACATAATCAAATAAATGATGGCAAACCATCTGTATTTGGCTGTTTTGTTTCCCAGGCCTTTTGCTAGACGAATAGGTATTCTCGTGAAGGGAATGGGGTAAAAAAAGTAGGATCCCGGATATATTGAAGAAAAAGTGGCATAATGCAATCTGCAAAGAGAAAATGCAACAGTTATTTTAGGTAGATTTAAACCCTAAATCAACATAAGAATTAGCAAAATACAACATATTATGCTCCTTTTCTTGGGTGTAGATATGCATTATGCAAGCATTTGGTCAGTATTATTCAAGAAGCAATAAAAGGGAGGTTTACTAAAACTTGGACCACTCAGAATCTGGTGCAGCTGTGCATAGTAGCCAATCAGTATCTATCTTCAACTTGGTCAACTAAGCTTTGAAAATAAAACCTGGAAGCTGATTGGTTTCTGCGGACAGCTGCACCAGATTTTGCATGCTCCAGTTTTAGTAAATAACCCCCAAAGTACCCAATCAGATATCACTTTATTGATGCCATAAAGGAACTATTTTGATAGCTTAAAATGACTGCTGTATTGTGCACTACATATTAGCTCAAAGGTCATTGTAAGAACAGAATTTTATAAAAAAAGAGCATTTGCAAATCAGTTAATCTGGTAGGAAAATGAATGTCTTTTCTCGGTCAGCCTTAAAAATAAATGGTCGTAAAGTCGTTTTTCACTGGGTTAACCCAAGTTTGCATGTGCAGACACTGACAGAACTCCTATTAGCACCTTGTTCATATAGATTGGGATGGGATATTCCGTTAAATATAAAAGTACTAATAGAAGCCGGTGGAAAAAACAATGGATATTTTGCGAACTCTTTATTACTGATCCCTGGAGGACAAGGAAATCTTTATAAAGCAAGGATCGGTTTTTTGTAACAGGAAAATCCCCCTTCACTCTAATGGTAACTGATTCATTGGTGGATCTACAAATTGTTAATGTGTGTGTATTTATGTCAGCGCTGGTAGCCCTTTGTGTGTTGTTTTTATGAAACCATCTAACTCTTAAGATTTTGCAATTTTTTTTCCTTCTACCTCAAGCACAAGGAAAAAAAATTTCTATTGCAGCAATATTGTGTTCCCTGTCGACAGAACACAATGATACTGCTAGCAGCTATAGCCACCAGCAGTTATTGCATGAAAAAAATCTGACAGGTTGGTTGTACGGAAGTTGATAGATGGGTCAACTTCAGTACAACTAACCTGTCCACAGATTGATCAAATCTCGGCCGATCCCCGCCGAACTGGTTAAGATTTGATCCATCTATGGCTAACTTTACTTAAATCTCTCTAGCATCCTTTTCACATGAGCTGCTGGGGGAAATAAACACAGAAATACAGCCGCTCAGGGCTTTACCCATGCCATGGTGGTGATGCTTTGCCATCGCAAATTTAAACATCATATATTATTCAGCGGGTCATTCTGCCACTGTGCACAACCCGTTCAAGGGAATGGGGTCATGCCACAACCACAACTGCCCTGCAACCACATTCAGTGCAGTGTGGTGGGTCAGCATTTTGAAGGTTAAAGCAAGCGGTTCGGATGCAACATAGCACCTTCTCCCTGTCTGTCAAATGTTTTCTGAAAAGCAATCCAGAGAAGATCGCTTTTTAGAGGTAAAGCAGTGTAGCTACACGTGGGAATGAGCCCTTTGAACTAGTTACATAGTTAGTCTGGCTGAAAAAAGACAAAAGGTTCATCCATTTCAACCATTAAAAATAAAAAGAAAAGAAGTTATAATCCTATACCCACAGTAGATCCAGAGGAAGGCAAAAAACCCAGCAAAGCATGATCCAATTTGCTCCTGCTGGGAAAAAAAATACTTCCTGATCCCCCGAGAGGCAAGCGGATATTCCCTGGATCAACTTTACCTATAAATGTTAGTATCCAGTTATATTCTGTGTATCTAAGAAAGAATCCAGGCCTTGCTTTAAAAATGGTCTGGATTCTTAGACACAGTTCTTTTAGAGGTGTATTGCATGGTGTCATATCTTTTATAGTAAAATGCCCTTCATCAGCTGGAGATTAAACTTCTCTTCTTCAAACTTAGTTTATCAACATGTAGTTTGGGTCAAAAATATACAGGCTAAACTGAGAACAGTCATGGGGACCTTTATAACAGACCTCTATGAGCTAAAAGCAGGAATCAGCCAGTTGTAATTTTACAAATGTAATTAACATACTGGATGGGAAGAAAATTGTGCTGCAATCTTTCAAAGTTTGTCGAATTGTAATTAAAAACTCTTCACAAAACAAAAAATTTTCCATAGGACCTACACTAATACACCAAATGATGTTCACCAGAAATCTTATACTTCATTTATTTTTCTAGATGAAGCAAAATAAATATCATGGATCTTTTTGAGGGAAACAAAAGTTATAAAAGACTAAAGCCTAGTATACACGATCAAAAAATTGTACAAAAAATACCGCTTTTGAAGCAATCGTACAATAATCTGACCGTTAGTACATCGCTTTCGTCTGAAATTATTTGAAGGGACAAACACGAAATTTTTTCTTGTACGATACCAGACTGTATTTTCGTTTAATCAGTACAGTTTTTATATCCAAAAATACATTACATCACTTTGAATTTTCTGTCTGTCGTACAAGAATTTTTATAAAGTTAGTAACCTCTTCACTTTCAATATGAGATTAGCATGCAAAAACAGCAAAAAAACAAAAACGGACAATCTTTCGTCCAATATTCTCATTGTGTGTACGGAGCTTTAGAAGACAAACCTGCACAGAGTTGTATAACGTATCCCCAGGACTGGCCAAGGCAGCTAGTAGAGCAGTTGTTGTAGTTCCAATGTTAGACCCAAGCGTCAGGGGATAAGCTCTCTCTATGCTAATCACGCCAATGCCTACAAGGTGACAAGCCAAATGTTAGACAATGATGATAGCCACCCAGTGATGACTTTCCCAACAACATACACAACTTCTGAACATATATGAACCATACCAATGAGTGGAGTCATTGCAGATGTGAAGACAGAGCTGCTCTGTACAATGAATGTCATTCCAGCTCCAACCAAAATTGCCAAGTAACCCGTCAACCATGAGAATGGGAAAGGGAAATCTGTGTAATGACAATAAATTAGTTATGACACAATGGCATGCCTAGCACTCTAAAATAGGTACATGTACTGTATATCAGCAGCATGATGTTGTAGCAATCTAGGACAAGTATGTAAAAAGTGTGGCGGGGGAGAGGTAGTAGGGTAGTATGCTCCTAAAACAGGCCTACAAAGGACAAGGGAACTAATTAGAGGAATCATCATGGAGCTGCAGCAGCTCAGAATAGCAAAGAGTTCTCCTTTCTTATTTATGATCATATAGACTTGCATTAGAGAGACCAATGTACAAATATGATGCTTTTTTTTTGTTTAAGACCATTGGCACTGGATTTAGTCAACAGTGCCAGTAATGGGCAGTATATTCTGAAATGTTCATTATATGCAGTATAATGAAAGGGCAGTATATGATGGAATAAATAAATAAATAAATGTTCAACAGAGTAAATAGGAAGCCAGCGTTTGCAAGCACAATACACTGTGTGAGCCCTGTGAGGTCCTGAGTGAGGCAGACTCTAGCCAGAGGATATCACGGCAATGCAGGAAGAACACAACATCAATGAGATTATTACCAGTGTTAATGATCTTCTTGATGACCACTGATACTTGTCCCTTCAGCATTGAGTTCAGGAGCTTGACAATTAGGATCAGGCAAACACAAAGCACTAGTAGTGACAGCGCCAAGAGGATAAGTCCGACTGCCAGGTCTGGGAGATCTGAGTTGGCAAACAGGTGTGCACCTAAACAATAGAATATAGAACAATGAAGGTGCTGGTTTATTTGATTTCTACATCAATATACAGTGCTCAGCATAAATGAGTACGCCCAAACAGATTTGTCAGAAAATCTTTACTTTCCTTTCAGAATCAACATTTTCTATGGGACACTATACTACAAAATACTCCCACAAAGGCAGACCATTGATCGCAAACAGGATTTGTTAATTTTGCGCACACAAAATAGTATTTTTCTTAACAAATTCATTCGAGACCATGTTGCAAAAATGAATATACAGCAATGAAAGTCTTAGGAGCAAAGCTAAATTTTAGACAACAAAATCCTAATTAACAAGCATTCAACTACAGGTGAGTCTAATTATTCATAAATAGGTGTCCAGCAGACATTTGATTATAAAAGGGCGTTACTTAGCAAAGAAAACCCCTTCCCATTTCGTGCTGTCAGCAATGGCACCACATAATAAAGAAATGTCACAACGCCTGAGAAAGAAAATAATTTCTTTACACAAGAAATGTGAAGGCTACAAGAACCAAAGCTTTGCTTATCAGTCAGAATACTGTAGCAAAAGTAATACAAAAATTTAACGAAGATGGAACTGCAACCATCTCAAAGAGACATCCAGGCCGTCCACAGAAGTTAACACCTCGACAGGAGCGTCTTCTGATGAGAAGGCCTGAAGAAAATCGCCATGTAAGTTCACTGCAGTTAGCTAAAGAAGTAGAAAGCCAAACTGGGGTGATTGTTTCCTGTGACACCAATATGGCGTACACTGCAGAGGAATGACATGCAGGGGTGTTGTCCATGAAGGAAGCCTCTTCTAAAGCCCATGCACAAAAAAGTCTGCCTAGAATTTGCCGGGGCCCATGCTGAACATGAAGAAAACTACTGGGACTCTGGAATGATGAGACCAAGATAAATGTTTTTGGAACTGATGGCTTCAAAACTGTATGGTGTCGCAAAGGTGAGGAGTACAAAGAAAAATGCATGGTGCCTACAGTGAAACATGGTGGTGGCAGTGTCCTTCTGTGGGGCTGCATGAGTGCTGCTGGTGTCAGGGAGCTGCATTTCATTGATGGTATCATGAATTTACAGATTTACTGCTCTATATCGAATGCAAAGATGCTACCATCACTCCATGCCCTTGGTCGTCGTGCACTTTTCCAACATGAAAATGATCTAAAATACACATCTAAGGCCACTGTTACATTTCTGAGGAAGAAACAGGGTGAAAGTGATTCAGTGGCCAAGTATGTCTCCTGATCTGAACCCAATCGAACAACCTATGGGGAATTCTAAAGAAACAAGTTGAGCATCACTCTCCATCCAGCATCCAGGCTCTAAAAGAGGTAATTCTTGAAGAATGGAAAAAGATAGATGTTGCAATATGTCGCAAACTTATTCATTTCATGCCTAGAAGACTTGGTGTTGTGCTTACAAATCATGGAGGTCATACAAAATACTAGATGGAGTAGTTTTTGTTGTGGGGTGTATTCATTTTTGCATCAACTAATTTGAGTAAAACTGAAAATTTTTGTTATCTAAGTTATATTAATAACCTTACTTTCATGTAAAGAGCTAAACAAATGTTCCATAAAACTCAGTTTTGGCAAAAGTTTGGAAATTGTTCTTGTGTTCATTGAGATATTGATTAAAATCTTACTTTTCAAAAGGGGTGAATTCATTTATGCTGACCACTGTACATCAGGGCCAGATCTAGGGGGGTGCTGGGGTGGGCTGTGCTCCCCATATTTTAGTTGTGTTCCCCCAGGACTCTGAGAGTGCATCCACTGATCCATGAGCCAGTCTGCGGCATACATTTGATGTAAGGAGGCACACTGATGGGGACATCTGATATAAGGGGTCACTCTGATGGGAACAATTGATGTAAGGGAGAAATCTGATGGGGATGCTCATGCAAGGGTGTGCTCTGATGAGGACACCTGATGTAAGGGGAGGCTCTGATTGGGGTATCAGATGTAGGGGGGTACTGTGATGGGGACCCTGATGTAAGTGGGTGCTCTGATGAGGACACCTGATGTAAGGGGGGCTCTGATTGGGGTATCAGATGTAAGGGGGTACTGTGATGGGGACCCTGATGTAAGGGGGTACTGTGATGGGGGCCCTGATGTAAGGGGACACTCTGATGAGGACCCTCATGCAAGGGGATACTCATAATGTAAAGAGGGACTCTTTATAGGGAAATCTGAAGGGAGCACACTTATCCTTACTAGTGTTTCCCAGGTTGTGACACTGTGACAGACTGTTAGTGACTCACACACAGTGTTAGCATTATTCCTCCTGACTTTTTTTTACGGCACCCTGAGATCAGATAGGATAAATTTGGCCCTGATATACTGGTAGCAGTGGTCTTTTATCCTGTGTGCAGCAAGACAATGACTCAAAAAGGGACCCAGTGGCCACAAACATCCCTTAAGGCCAAACCTTGAGGCCTTGAACCGTGATGTTCCTCATAATCTACAGACAAGGAAAGCTTGGGTTGTTATTATTTCAGGCTCATTTATGCAGGTTGTGGTATAACGACCAGGGATCTTTAATTATAACATCAAGATAGAAATTAAAATGAAGGTGGTGCAATGAGGAGTGAATAATTCTAAGAAAAAGTTGGCTCCCAGATTAGTATTCTTTTAGAAAAAAACTACAAGCTATTATTTTGCCTATTAGTTTTGCCTGCAGTATCAGCTAAAACAGAGCAACAGAAGACATAGATCTCAGATGTCTCATTGTGCTTTTATATTCATAGCTGTTATTCTTGTAAATGTTTTATTTTGTGCTAAGTGGCTCTTTAATTTAAACATGTTCTAAGAAACATAGGGGTTTTTTTCTACTAAAGCTGGAGAGTGCAAAATCTGGTGCAACTCTGCATAGAAACCAATCAACATCCAGATTTGATTGCCAAAGTTTGACGGACCAAGCTGAGGTTAGAAGCTGATTGGCTACCATGCACAGCTGCACCAAATTCTGAATGCACCCAGTTTAGTAAATCACCCCCATAGAGTCATCACCATTGCCGATCTATTAAAAAAAAAAAAGGAAAGCAAAAAATTCCTATCTTCATTGTTCTAGGTTAGTGACAATGGCAATCACCAAGTATTGAGAAAGATGGTCAGCAAGCAGCTAGCATTTCCAGGTCAACAATGGCAGCCTCTCCTAACAGGTTTTCTCTTGAGATTTCAATTAATTTTTTATTTACGTGTTTTGCTCATTCCAATTGCAAAGCGCCTTTTGAAGGAGACAAGGAACTCCACGTGAGGTCTGGCAGTTTGAGCTCTATGATCTGAATAACATGAATAAGTACTTACAACTGGCCTTGACTTGCTCCTGGATCTCTGTCCATGTCACATTGTTTTCATCCGTCCAGCAGAGTTTGTCAGCAGTGCAGTTTTCTGGGCTGGACACTGAAGCATTTATCCACATCTGTGTAGAATAGCAAACATGCACATTCATATAGTGTTTTCTAACCTTGTCTTTCCTCAATGCCCCAATATCTTTCTACAAATGCAGAAATGTAACTGCAAGCGGCATTTTGGCTAGCCACTTGATGTGTAGCCACCCCATTAATGGTACATTTACACTCACTGGCTACTTTATTAGGTACACTTGTTCAATTGTTTGGTAACACAAATTACTAATCAGCCAATCATTTGGGAGCAACTCAATGCATTTAGGCATGTAGACATGGTGAAGACAACTTGCTGAAGTTCAAACCAAGCATCAGAACTGGGAAAAAAGAGGATTTAAGTGACTTTGAACATGGCATGGTTGTTGGTGCCAGACGGGCTGGTCTGCGTATTTCAAAAACTGCTGATCTACTGGGATTTTCATGCACAACCATCTCTAGAGTTTACAGAGAATGGTCCAGAAAAGACAAAATATCCAATGTGTGGCAATTGTGTGGAAAAAAATGCCTTGTTGATGTCAGAGGTCAGAGGAGAATGGGCAGACTTGCTGCAACATTCAGATGGTAGGGTCAGAATTTGGTGTAAACAACACAAAATAATGGATCCATCCTGCCTTGTATGAATGGTTCAGGCTGGTGGTGTAATGGTGTGGGGGATATTTTCTTGGCACTAGCAAGGTGTAACTAATAAAGTGGCTGGTAAGTTTATATCTTAGGTGACCATTTATGTTGTGAAAAGTGCGTATTACCACTGAGTTACAAAGATTTGTATTTAAAGTGGAACTTTACCCATAAAGAAATAATGTTCTTTAGCAAGGAACATACATTCCACATTAATAATTATACTAACAAAATTAGTGGGTGCTGTAAATTGCCTCCAGCATTGTTTCTTCTTGCTGGAGGCTGCCATTTTGTTAAAACTCAGAACCCCTGAGCTGCAGTAAATCTTTAGGTTGTCAGCAGACCGGCCTCTACATTTCTAGCACAAAATACAGTAAGAGTGTAAGAGTAAGAGTATATTTCTGAAGTTTAAAAAGTATAGACACGTATTTTTAATGTTTTACATAACTATACCTGCAAAAGGGACCAGCCTGACATAATCAAGCAATGTTTTGACAAAAGTTCCACTTTCAAATAATTTATGGTTTTCTCCATGTAAGATTGCAGGAGAATATGTGTGGCCACTGTCTACAGCAGTCCCTGTGACTTAGAATAGTGCAGCTACCAAAAATCCCAGATCAGAGCAACATAACAATCACAATCTATATTGTGGGTGGTACTTAGTGGGTGGAGCATGGTTTCCTTAGCCCTTCCCAAGAGGAGTAGGAGCCCATTTTAAACAGAAATTGGAACTAATAAAAGTAAGAAAAGTATAGTTTCAGGAAAACCACAATTTTAGCTGCATGACATATCATTTTCTGAATGGCTACAGTTCAGATTTAGAATGCCCCTGGACCATGGACAGTATCATGAATGCTAGCTCTGCTGATACATATCTGACATCACAGGCACTTTACCTTCTTTCCACAATCTCTTTTAATCAGACTCTTGTTCTGAGCAGCTGGATCCCCATAGGCAATTTCCTGTATGACTTTCTTGTCAAGCTGCAATATAGAGATGTCATATTTAGCATAACCTGTTTTTGTTGACTGATTAAACATTAGGAATCTGAAAGTAGGTGGCAAAAGCCTACAATTATTTATACCTGGATGATTCCTTTGGTGAGAGGCTCTGTGATAACCTTCAGCATATCTGGGGCATCCTCTCCAGACTGTAAGTTGAAGGACTCCACAATGGCATTGGTGAGATAGTACAGGTATCCTGATGCTATTTCAATGGGTAGCAAGATCAGCACTGATAGCCAGTTAAAGAAATCATGGACAGTAGCTCCAGCAAATGCCCTATTATGGGGAAAAGGTGGGAGCTATTAAATGAAATTCCAGCTTATGACATATTATTGGCAGGTAATTTAGATGTCAGTCAGTTTATATGTGTTATGCAGTTTAAGTTTTAAGCACATTTATGGAGGATTTGAATTAATCAGCTAAAGCTACCAGTGACACACTGTTGATCAATATTAATATATTTCTAGTTTGTGAGAGGTAAAATCTTGAGCAGAAAGGTATCTATGCTTCCTAACCTTTCATAATAAAGGAGAACTGATACCGTCCCTGCAGGACAAGCAAACGCAGGGAGGGAGAGCTTGAGTAGATAAAAGCATATCTAAACCCAAACACACAAATGTAATATTTTGCAGTTTACTGGTGCCTAATTGTGGGGACAGCATTAGCTTTATTTTTTACTATTTTCCTTTATCTTCACCTGGTGATCAAGCCAGTAAGTCTGTTATTTTTTAATTTAACAGACCAAGTTGTCCAGCAGAAATGGCAGTTAGAGGGTTAGACAAACCATTTAACACTGACAGGGTGCTTACAATGGTCAGATTTTATGTAAAATATTTTTCCCAAAAGCAAATTAAAAAAAAAACTCTTGCTTTAACTGCTTAAAAAGTGTTAGCTGGAGTTTGACTTTAATTTGTTTGTCAAGTCCATCTAAATCTGCTAGTTGGTGGGCAATGCTGCTGTCAAAAGGTATCTCCATTGCTCCTCCACGCAGACTGGAGACACCCTAAGGCAGGAAGTGAGTTACTGGATGGAAAATTCAAAAAACCTCCTGCGCTTAAATGGAATCCTACCCTCAAAAAGCTGCTAACACTAAACTTATACCCGAATAAGTGAATAATCAATTAAAATAAACAGTGTAGCGCTAATAAAAATATATATATATATATATATAAATATCCAGTGAATAAGTGATTACAATAAACAAACTCAATATACACCCCCTAGGTATATATATCCGGAATGATAAACAAAGAAATAAATAATAGTGTCATGCGTGAATTCCCTCGTGGGGAATATCCAGTGCAAAAAGTGACAAATACAATCTTAATACAATATAGTGACAAAAGAACATACGGTGCTCAAAATAGGTGAACCAATATTCAATTGCAAAAAGTCCAAACAATATAATAATAATAATAATGCAATGCTTTGTGGTGGTCTTCCCACTCCACTCTTCATGCAAAAGTAATGTGCAGTGTGCGTGATTCACACGTGCCAATCCTTTAACGGCCAAAATGCCCCCTCACCTCCTTACTTGGACCCCACAGGGCCAGCACGCTTTAAGGATCAAACGATCCTATCAGAATGGATTCCTCTCTGGATTTCACCTCCAGCGTCCACCAGACTAGCAGCCAGCTCTACTGGCACAGATCAAAATAATCCCAGCAATAGAGCTGCAGAGAATACAGATCAACACGATGGTCTATGGAGCGATTCTTCTTCCCATACTGCATCCCACAGCCATCTCCTCCCCAGGTAAGTGAGACTCACCCAACCATCCACAGCTTTACTACCTTTTTATTCACTGCTTCCAAACAGCCCTCCATGTTATCCTATGTGTCCATGCACACAGAGACTTTTAGAAGCTTTTATTAGCAGTACCATTTACCAACCGGAAGAAAAACCCAGGGCCAGCGCGTCCAGAAGCAGCAGTGTTTTGGCAGAAAAAATGCCTGACATGCCTAAACACGTCTAAACGCTAGACGCGTTTAGCGATTGAGTGTTAATTCATTTCAATGGCCACAAAAAGACTACTTTCACACTGAGAGGTTTTTGAAGTGTTTTTGCCTGAAAAGCTCAAGAAAAATGCTTCCCTATGTATGTGAATGTACAGTATATCTATTGTATGTTTTCACACTGAGGCGTTGCGCTTGCGGGGCGGTGTAAAAACTCCTGCTTGCAGCATCTTTGGGGCATGGGGCTTGATTAAGGATAGTCACATCCTGCCTTGACTTTTACCTCTGTAGGTTCACTTTATCAGATGGTCAGTCTCATAGTCATGGAAAAGGATCAGATACTGTACCTTCTAAATTCATTCCGGTCACCAGACTGCATCAATGCTACAATGGTATTTGTGACTGATGTGCCAATGTTGGCTCCCATGATGATTGGAATGGCTGTCCTGACCGTTAGAACTGCAAAAACAGAAACATATGACTCTGGTATTAATATTATAGTGTAAACAGGAACACAGTGGAGAAAATAATGTTTGTGCCTTGTCACAGCACTGATGCAATTTTTTTTCACCTATGAATAATAAGCGGAACTCGAGACACACAGCTAAATACACAGTTAAAAAATTTTTTTTTTATCTGCCTACCAAAGTTTTTTCATCTCTGTGCAACCAGTCTAGTAATTTGCATACTACACAGCCAGGTAGATGACACACATTTTCTGGTTGAGTATGTTTTGCCGAAAAGTGGACTTGAAGGCTCGCAGGGGTCACAATGGCTACCTCTCCCATGCTCCAGGGGGCCCTGTGCCCCCGTAACATTAGGTTTTACATTGTATTGCTGGGGAAAAGTGCTTGCTGCGTCACCCTGTGTAGGTAATTCAGTAAACTCAGAGGACCAGAGCCCACCAGGCAGGGGCCCGCTCAGGCCTGTCTGAGGCCCTCTGAGTTTCCAGCTTCACCTACACAGGGTTACGGGGCAAGCCTTTTTCCCCAGTAGTGTAGTCTCTGCTCAGCACCCCTGGCCCAGCCCAGTACCCCAGACCCCTCCGTGCGGGCAGGCAGGCCACACTCTAAGCTGCTGGGTGAAAGTGGTGGGCTGGTATGTGAATCTGGAAGTCAGAGCCCCCCTCACATGGACTGGGCCCTCTGAGTTTCTTCTTTTACCATGGCTCAGTGTAGCCTGCCTGCCTGCCCCCGCCTTGTGCGCACGTACCGTAGGCAGCAGGTGAGAGAGAAGAGAGACAGCCACCACACAGTCACAGAGCATTCTTGTGTAAGTGGCACTGGTGTGCAATGGGAGTCTATTGGCGTTAGATGGAGGCGGCTGGTGGCAGTGGAGGGGACCCCAGGTCAAGTTTTACATCAGGGTCCACAAGCTTCAAGCTATGCCTTTTACCCCTCCATCTTCAGCCATCTCACTGGATATTGAACCAACATCATCACTTCTGGCCATTGAACTTTAAAAGAAACGTTTACGTTTTTTTTTTTTTTTTTTTTTAGAAATCATACTTACCTAGGTAGAAGCAGCATCGGTCCAATGCAACATTCTGTCCCCCAATGGCTGTAAGACTGAGAACTGAGCGATCAAAGACTTCTGTTCTCTATGAACAGATAGCTGGTGGTTGTCAGTCACTGCTCTCTGCTCTACCCCGCCAGCACTCATTGGAGTGCTGAGCTGAGGGGGCAGGAGTGGCTCGCTCAGGCTCTCAGCAGATTGCTGAGAAGCTGAGCCAGGTGCCACTCCAGACATCTGGGTGGATCCCAACTATAAAGTTGGGATTTTTCCTCAACCTGGACCAGTTGAGTCACATCAGCTGACAGTGGACTTTAGCCCACTGTCGGCTGAAAACAGGTCACACGAGTGCAGAACGAACTACACTCCTGTGATCCACAGGAAAAGTACACCCAAACAAGCAATGCCAAACCGTAAAGTAGGAAAGTGAACTTCCTAACTAACAGAGAAGTGCATCTCATATGAATGGCAGGCAAAAATGAGCAATATTTTGTTAGGTAATACAGTTCATATATATGTAATGAAATACTGTAACTGTTTGTCTTTCGTCCCACTTTAAAGTTCCTGAACTTGACCAGGTCAATGTGGCATAAATGATTTCACTATAGATATTGTCAATGTGAATAAGACAAATGATATCGTTACAACAATAGAAAACCAACTGTTGTGGCTGACAACTGGGATGTGAAGCAATGATTAAAGGAATGATCTACTCTACAAAAGTAGGGACACACACACATATCTGTGTTCTATAAATTAAGAATTCATACTCACGTCCAGATGACACCATGCTGACCACAATAGATGTGGATGTACTTGAGCTCTGTACAAGGACAGTCACCAGGACACCAATCACCAGTCCAGCAACAGGATTGGAGAGAACAGAGTGGTTCTTGAAAATATCTCCTGCTGCTTTGCCTAAAATAAATGAATCAAAGTCATGAACTAGTTAGTTGATTAGTTAGTTGGTTAATGCAAAACATTACAATCTCAGTCCAACCAAAATCTTCAAAGTGTAACCTAACTATAAAATCCGACAAGAAGAGTATGACCACCTTATGGAGGGAATATTTCGTCCCTCCATCCAGTATCAAAACCAAACTTTTTTAAACTCAAGAATAAATATCATGTAATGCAATCTACCACTCCTTAGGTTCTGTGCACAGGAAGTGGTGTAGTAAACCTGAATGCAACTCTGGAAGAGCAGCAATGGAAGAATATACTCTAAGTCACCCCCCCCTTTACTTCCCCCTTTCACACCTATATTGAGATGACCTGTGAATTATAACATGCTGCAAATAGTTAGAATAGACTAGCACCTACTTACCTCCAACTAATTGAAAGGCCGAGCTTAACACATCCAGCGAACACACAAAGAAGTACAACAATACCACTAAGAGGATAAACCGACCGATCGCCTTTAGAACAGACAAGACACGTTGTTTTGTGTTCATTTCTAAAAAAAAGAAGGCACTTTGTTTGTTGTCCACAGTGAATGAAGCCCAACCTTCACCAAGAGCAGTGCTATAACAATCAAGGCAATAACAGCAAAAGGCATTGGTACACCTACCTGACCACTTTGGTCCAGTACTTTTAAGTTCTGGCATGTCCCATGGATCAAACTGATTTTCTTTTTCAGATGCGTCTTGGCAGAGTGTCACAGTGGAGTAACTCGGTGGTAAGTTCGTATTAGCTAAACTAATGTTGTCTGAAAAACATATATGAATAAGTGTATGTCAAGAAAATACCATTGTGTGAATCTGCAACATTATTAAAGTTTGCTTTTCTTTTGGATACAAAAACATGTGATTGCTTATTTTATTAATTTGTATTATTACATTGTTATCAGTTTATCAATGCATGTTAATGTTTTAAAAAATCTTGTTTATATAATGGCTTTTAATTATATATGTACACAGTGGTGTATTTTGGTTTTGTGCTGCCCTAGGCAAGACTAAAATCGGGCACCCCCCAACTAAATTTGTCCTACCCCTTCCTGTTTAAAATCCACCTCTTCAGGACAGTAGCATGATGAAGGGCAGTATGACATGGGGGGGGGGGGGGGGCGTGGGACAGGAGGGGGGCAGCGTGATGGGGGGCTGCAGGACAGGTGGGGGGTAGCATGGCGGAGGGAGGGCAGCATGATGGGGGGGGAAGTGTGATGCGTGGGGACAGTGTGACAGAGAGCAGCATGGTGGGGGACAGCATGATCGGTGGGGAGGCAGGGGGACAGGTGGAAGGCAGCATGACTGGGGGGCACGGGAAAGGAGGGGGGCAGTGGGATAGAAAGAGGATCAGCGGGACAGGAGGAGTGCAGCAGAACAGGTGAGGTGCAGTGGGACAGATGAGGGGTAGTAGGACATGTTGGGGACAGCGGGACAGGAGGGGGGGCAGAGGAACAGGTGTGGGGCAGGGTGACAGGTGGGGGCAGTGTGCCAGGTAACAGAATGAAGGATGAAAAAGGATGGAGGGAGTGAAGTGTGACAGGTGGGGGGGGCAGTGTGGCAGGTAACAGAATGAAGGAGGAAAAAGGACGGAGGGAGTGAAGTGTGACAGGTGGGGGGCAATGTGTCGGGGGGCAATGAGACAGGAGTGGGGAAGCACCAGTCCTCCAAGCTCTTACCTGTCCAGCAGCGGCTCCTCCAGATGGTGTCAGGATAACTCCAAAAAGGTTGCCTGTGTCCCATCTCCCCCAGGATCTCCAGCGGTGGCTGCAAAAGAGCAGGGGACTCCTCCACCCTGACCTTGTCCTCTTCTTCTTCCTCCTCCACGGGTCTTCCACTGGTACCTCTTGGCCATCCTGCACATCCTGGTGCACACTGACAGTGGGCCCCGGCCCAGACACTCTCTCAGCGCACTCCAGGGATCCACCCACCACTCCACCCTCCTGTGCAGCCGATCCCTTGGCCTGGGTGACCCTACTTGTGTGCCAGCTTGACTGTACCCCCACCCATGGTAGCCCTGCCACAGACACACAGTGTCCCTTCTGCCTGGGGGATGACGCCGCCCCCCTGTAAACTGCCACCAATAGCAGATACACCCCTGTATCTACATGGAGTGGCCATATTTGTCCATACATGTCCCTAACGTTACATAAAAGGGAAAAGCTATATAGGATTTTTAAGTAAGTAAAAAAGGTAAGCAGAAATTTTGAAAAAAATCTGTTATGTGTGAATGGGAAGGCAAAACAGGTATAAAGTAGGTTTTATCCCAATTTGGCTGCACATGTGGAAAAAAACTTTATAGACCAATTCCAGGCTGGATATTTTATACTAGGACTTATATAAATATGCATATACCATACCTGGTGGACACCCCTGGAAGCTGAAAATCACTGAAATAGACACCTGCCACTCCACCCGCTACTTTTCCAAATAAATGCAAAGCATTCTCTGATTGGATGAGTTGGAGAGTGTGATGTCATTGCCCTGCCTCATCCAGTCAGAGAAAGCATTGCATTCATTATGAAAAAATGAAAAGCATTCTCTAAACGACGCCCGTGCCGAGCAGCCAACCCCCTGTGCTGAGAATACATCAGGTCAGTCGCTCAGCATGGGATCCAGAAGCAAGTAGAGATCACTGAAGTAGCGGGTGTCTACTTTAGTGAATTCCAACTTCCAGGGGCATCCACCAGGTATGGTATATGCATAGTTACATTTGTTCTATACTATGTCAAATATTTCCATGTAGTAATGTGTGTTATATATGTGTAGTAATTTGAGAAATGCAATCTACAACGTTTCATACAGTAACAAATTTAAAAACCCTGTCAAATATCTGGATTTATACCAATATAGAAAATGCTGTATGTAAGATAATGAAAGATTTCAGTAGCTTTCTTCTTTACAATGACAAATTTTAGACTATTTGAAATATTAGGAACCTGTCAAAAACGACTTGTGTCTAATGTGACCTTAAGTCATAACCTTGGTGTAGTTTAGTTTTGGAAAAACAGCAACCAGCTCTATGTAAAAAAAACATTGCTTGAGGCCTGCTATGCAATGGAGGAAGTAACAGTGATTCTCAATTAGTTTACAGCAGGGCAGGCACTCACAACACATGATTATGGCTGTATTACTTAACAGGTCAGATAATTTGTATATTGACACTCACTCTGTTAATAGGTTATATATAGAGATCAAGATGGCCTGGTCATTGGAATTCCCAGAAAGGTTTTGTTTAAACTGGAGTTCTTCTTTACAATAACACTTTGTTCCAGGTACTTACCAGGTGGAGGGAATGTATTGCCATTCAGGGATATATTTGTCTGTTTTTTGACATCTTCTACATCATCTGCAATATGGTTCTGGAATTCCGGAAAGGGAGCCATTTTCTGGAAACAATACAGTTCACAAGTGAAAATGATGACAGGAGTTTTTAGATCAGAAACATACAAACTTTCTATCAGTAGGATGCAGAGACCCAGCAGCTTTTAGTCAAAGATCACATTCACCATTAAGAAGCTTATTCAATAAAGCAGCATCCAAGCAATAATGGTGCGCAAACAACAAGTACCTTGTGGTCCAATTGCATTTCACCACTTATTAGTATGAAGCTGGAAGAACAATTGTGATTGCTTGTTGTACATGCCCTTTGCTCATCATTTTATTGAAGAAGAGCTCTACAGATTTAACATATACAGTCAGGTCCATAAATATTGGGACATCAACACAATTCTAACATTTGTGGCTTTATACACCACCACAATGGATTTGAAATGAAACGAACAAGATGTGCTTTAACTGCATACTGTCAGCTTTAATTTGAGGGTATTTACATCCAAATCAGGTGAACGGTGTAGGAATTACAACAGTTTGCATATGTGACTCCCACTTGTTAAGGGACCAAAAGTAATGGGACAGAATAATAATCATAAATCAAACTTTCACTTTTTAATACTTGGTTGCAAATCCTTTGCAGTCAATTACAGCCTGAAGTCTGGAACGCATAGACATCACCAGACGCTGGGTTTCATCCCTGGTGATGCTCTGCCAGGCCTCTACTGCACCTATCTTCAGTTCCTGCTTGTTCTTGGGGCATTTTCCCTTCAGTTTTGTCTTCAGCAAGTGAAATGCATGCTCAATCGGATTCAGGTCAGGTGATTGACTTGGCCATTGCATAACATTCCACTTCTTTCCCTTAAAAACTCTTTGCTTTCTTTTGCAGTATGCTTTGGGTCATTGTCCATCTGCACTGTGAAGCGGCATCCAATGAGTTCTGAAGCATTTGGCTGAATATGAGCAGATAATATTGCCCGAAACACTTCAGAATTCATCCTGCTGCTTTTGTCAGCAGTCACATCATCAGTAAATACAAGAGAACCAGTTCCATTGGCAGCCATACATGCCCACGCCATGACACTACCACCACTATGCTTCACTGATGAGGTGGTATGCTTAGGATCATGAGCAGTTCCTTTCCTTCTCCATACTCTTCTCTTCCCATCACTCTGGTACAAGTTGATCTTGGTCTCATCTGTCCATAGGATGTTGTTCCAGAACTGTGAAGCCTTTTTTAGATGTCGTTTGGCAAACTCTAATCTGGCCTTCCTGTTTTTGAGGTTCACCAATGGTTTCCATCTTGTGGTGAACCCTCTGTATTCACTCTGGTGAAGTCTTCTCTTGATTGTTGACTTTGACACCTACCTCCTGGACAGTGTTCTTGATCTGGCCAACTGTTGTGAAGGGTGTTTTCTTCACCAGGGAAAGAATTCTTCGGTCATCCACCACAGTTGTTTTCCGTGGTCTTCCGGGTCTTTTGGTGTTGCTGAGCTCACCGGTGCGTTCCTTCTTTTTAAGAATGTTCCAAACAGTTGTTTTGGCCACGCTTAATGTTTTTGCTATCTCTCTGATGGGTTTGTTTTGTTTTTTCAGCCTAATGATGGCTTGCTTCACTGATAGTGACAGCTCTTTGGATCTCATCTTGAGAATTGACAGCAACAGATTCCAAATGCAAATATCACACTTGAAATGAACTCTGGACCTTTTATCTGCTTATTGTAATTGGGATAATGAGGGAATAAACACACACCTGGCCATGGAACAGCTGAGAAGCCAATTGTCCATTACTTTTGGTCCCTTAACAAGTGGGAGGCACATATGCAAACTGTTGTAATTCATACACCGTTCACCTGATTTGGATGTAAATACCCTCAAATTAAAGCTGACAGTCTGCAGTTAAAGCCCATCTTGTTCGTTTCATTTCAAATCCATTGTGGTCGTGTATAGAACCAAAAATGTTAGAATTGTGTTGATGTCCCAATATTTATGGACCTGACTGTAAGTGGCCATTTCCTCCTTGAACCATGGAATCCAACCATTACAGGTAGTAACTGAATCTCTGCACATACACTCATCTGTCATTTTATTAGGTACACCTGTTCAATTGCTTGGTAACACAAATTGTCAATCACATGTCAGACACTCAATGCATTTAGACATGTAGATGTGGTGAAGATGACTTGCTGAAGTTCAAACCGAGCATCAGAATGTGGAAGAAAGGGGATTTAAGTGACTTTGGACATGGCATGGTTGTTGGTGGCAGACGAGCTGGTCTGTGTATTTCAAAAACTGCTGATCTACTGGGATTTTCACACACAACCATCTCT